GGTTCCCTTGGAGGAACATCTAAAGGCTCCCCTTGAAGAGCAAGGGAACCTACGCAGCAGGCAGAGGGCACGGTTTAGCTTTTGATGAAGGGCTGGGAGCTGCCCTGGGGTGTAAAGTGAGGACTGAGCAGGATAGGGGCTCTCTGACCCAGTAACAATGAGCTTGACCTCTGCCCCTGGCCTGGGTTTCTCTCCTCCTGATGCTCACGCCAGCCTGTTGACTGGCATGTCAGCATGCAATGCCTGGGAGGGGAGCAGACCTTTCCTATTGTCAGGGAAGCCATCAGTGGCCAGGCTCTGTGGCTGGGCAGGTCTGCAACCTTGACCTTGTTTCTTCTGATACAGTTCACTGGGAAACCATGCTCCAGGCTCAGAGACGTCCCTGCCTGTAAACTGTGTACAATGTCAGCCAAGAAACCAGTTGCCTGTAAGCACTTAAACCCTGGCGCCAGTCAGGAACCAAAGAGATCAGCTGACTCCGGCCTCAGAGCCTCAAGGGCCAACTCCATAGTATGCACACTGTGTCCGACTCCTGGAGGAGAGTCCTACTCTGCCCAGAGTAAAGCTAGCACAGGGCAGAGCCACCCTCTCCCAGCCACCCTGCCGAGCAAGGAGAGTCTTCCCTATAGGACAATGAGGAGAGAAAGAGGAAAGGACAGCAAATCACTTGGCTGGGAGTCACCAAGAAGCAGCGGTGGACTGGACAGGAAACAACTCTCTTCCCTCCCTTGGGCTGTGCCTCCAGGCCTCCTGCCTCAACAGCCACAGGCTGGTGGGCTCAGTGGACAGAGTTACCACCCTCCTCCCAGGTGCCAAACTGCCATTGCAGGTGATTTGTGGGAGAAAAGAGGACCCCAAGGTCATCCATGGTCACCAGCTTAAGTATTTTATTCAGAGCTGAAGAGATGGGCCAATGGTTAAGAGCACTGGCTGCTCTTGCAAAGGACTCGGGTTCAGTACCCGGCACCCACGTGGCATCTCATATCATTCGTAACTCCAGTTCCTGGGGAATCCATCACCCTCTTCTGACCTCCGTGGGCACCAGGCACACAGGTGGTGCACATATATGCATGCAAACAAATACTCATACACAGAAAGTCAAAATAAGTGAATCGTAGGGGAAAAATAATTTTATTCACAAGCCACACATGATTTTTACATGCCCATCTTCTAGCAGTCTGGAGGCTGAGGCAAGAAGATTTAAAGCTCTGGGCTATCCTGGGCTACATAAAGATTTTTTTTTCTCTCTCTCTCTCAAAAAAAACACAAACAAACAAATAAACATTCACCTTATCTGCTCTTTGAGAGCCCTCTACAGAAGTACCTTCTCCCTTTAATCCCCAGCACTCAGGAGGCAGAGCCAGGTGGATCTCTGTGAGTTCGAGGCCAGCCTGGTCTACAGAGCGAGATCCAGGACAGGCACCAAAACTACACAGAAAAACCCTGTCTCGGAAAAAAACAAACAAGAAGTGCCTTCTCTGAGTCATAGAATCTGGCTGGCAGCTGAGCCCACTGTGTGTGCAGGAGAAACAGGTCTGAGGATGATGCGGGTGTACCAACAAACAGTACCTTGTACACCCAACCACAGAGTGCTGGCAGGAAAGCCGAAGCAGGCCGAGTGATGGAAAGACGCCAAGGAGAAAGCAGCAGTTCCAAGCCTCTGCCATTAAGCCAAGAGGATACAGGCCTTAGGGACCAGTCGGCCCTGTCCCAACAGCCATGTCTGTGACTCTGGCGTAACCTGTTTGTCTGTGGAGGGTCGCATACAAAGACTGAGCACTGTAAGTTAACTGGCTGGCTCCATCAGGGTTTCTGACCTGCTGTAGGGCTTCTGGGGCTCAGGACCATCTGGGGAGCTAGTGCCAGGAAAGATGTCTACCACCTTTTCTTCTAATGCCCACAGCCCGTCACCATTCACAGAGCATACCCATCCCCTGCCCCTCTGCCAGGGGCTCTTTGCTGTAGCAATGGAGATAGAGAGGCAGCCCTCCAAGCTTTGACTCTTCACAAATGAAATCTGAAATCTCCTCTTCAGCTCCAGAGACTTCCACACACCTCCTTCTACCCCTGACTGTGGCTTCTGGCCACGCCCACCCAAGTCCCTTGGGTGGGAACCTTTGGGTCATTGTGCTTTCCATGACCCATTAAAGGGTATGAGACATGGGGATGGCCCGAGGGAAGCAGTGTGGTTACAAGTCATTCCCAAACTAGACGGTTGGTCAGTCCTGGTCAGTCCGTCGTGCAGGTCGGCTCTGACTGCAACTGAGTATCAAGCTCTTCCCACTCCTGCTCCCGCGGGGCAGCTTTAGATGGCGGCTACCAGGATCCCTGCTGAGATCGGCTCTGCTCCCCACCCCTAGCCTGTGCCTCTCACCAAGTTTTTGTAGGAACCTTGTAGGAGCCTGCGCACAGCGGGGGCGGGGGAGCAGGGTGGTATATGAGGACGCCAAAATGAAAGCTGTGGAGGGAAACGGAGGAATGGAAACTTCGGGTCTCACCTAATCCCAGCTCTGGCTTCAAGATGGGCTCCCCAAGAAGCCCAGTCGGCTGTAGGACCGGGATGAGGCAAGGTCCAGCCCCTGGCTCGTGTGACCTCTTGGCATGTGGTTTTTGCCTCTCTGAGCCGCTGTTTCCTAATTGCTAAAATGGTCACGATGACCCCCATTCCTCGGGTTACTATGCTAAAAATTCAGGGAGGGAGCAAGGCATAGTTTGCTATACACAGCCGGCCACTCCACACGCACTCGTGATCACCTGCTGTCAGCTTTGATGTGACACCATGGGGGGAGCGGGGGGGGGGGGGCCGGCAGTGAACAAGGCACACTCCCTGTTCTCGGGGAGCCCCCCAGCCCCAATCCAGCATGGTGAGATACCGACAGAACCCCAGCTGGCTCATCCGAACCCCAGCTGGCTCATCTGCGGTCTAGAAAGCTGCTGAGGAAGCCTCTCCAGAGACGTGACATTCAAGCAGACTTGGCTTTTTTTTCTTTCCTTCCTTCTTTCTTTCTTCCTTTTTTGCCCCCCATTTTCTTGAGACAGGGTCACATGCTGTAGACCACACCACGCTTGCCTCAAACTCATTCTTGGCAGTCCTCCTGCCTCAGGCCTCCCAAGTGCTGGGATTTGATTTCTGTACCTGGCTCAGTTGGGCTTTGCAGGATGTGTAGGAGTTTTTCTGTGGGAGACATTAATGGAGACATCTCAAGCCGCAAGCACTCTGGAGGTAGATGTAGGACTGGAAGCCATGTCATGGGACACACAGGTGACAAGCTGGTAAAATCATCTCAGGCAGGTTACTCCCACCTCTGGGCCTCAGGTGCCTTGTCCATACATGAGAATAGAAAAGTCCATCTCCCAGTAAAGCTCCCGACTGGGCCTGTGCTCAGACTTCCAATTTAACTTCCCATGTGTGTTGTGAAAGTCAGGGCTATTTTTGTCCACACTCGACTATTTGTGGGTCCAGAGCCTGTCCTTTCCCACAGAGGACAGAGCTGGGCTGCCACAGCCACCCTGCCCACTCCCAGGCTATGGTGGGAGGGAGGTAAGTTGAGCAGGAACTCAGTCATGTGGAGCAGAGGAGAGAGGGACTGAACGGCCACCTTAGGAGCTTCAAGGCTCCTCTGGGAACCAGTCTGAGAACATTCGGGGGCAGACCAACTGGTCCAAGCCTGGTTAGTTAGTTAATTAGTTAGTTAGATTTTATTTTATGTGTATGGGTGTTTTGCTTGTATGTACGTCTTTGTGTGCCGTGTGCCATGTGCCGTGTGCCGTGTGCGTTCCTGGTATTCACAGAAGCCACAAGAGAACATTAGATCCCCTGAAACTGTAGTTACAGACAGTTGGGCGCTGTCATGTTGGTGCTGAGAATTGGACCCAGGTCTTCTGAAAGAGAAGCCAGTGCTATCCTGGCTCTAGCTCAGAGTTATTTAGTTATCTATTTTGTTTTGGTTTGGTTTTGGTTTTTATTGTTGTTGTTGTTGTTGTTTTGTTTTGTTTTCGAGACAGAGTCTCTCCATGTAGTTTTTGTGCCTGTCGTGGAACTCACTCTGTAGCTCAGGCTGGCCTCAAACTCACAGAGATCCATCTGGCTCAGCTTCCCGAGTGCTGGAATTAAAGGTGTGCCCTACCACTGCCCAGCCTAATTATTATTATTATTTTTTTAAGCAGCCTCACTCTATTGCCCTGGCTGGCCTAGAACTCCTATACACACCAGGCTGGCCTAGAACTCCTATACACACCAGGCTGGCCTAGAACTCCTATACATACCAGGCTAGCCTAGAACTCCTTTATACACCAGGCTAGCCTAGAATTCCTGTATACACCAGGCTAGCCTACACCTTGGTGCTCAAGGGGGCCTGGAAAGCCTCCTTTTACAGGTGAGGTGGGACCAAGGCCCGGGCCTGCCGGGGAAGGAGGTCAGACACCTTCCCCAGCACGGCAATGTGCTCTCCCGTTACCATCAGCTGAAAAACTGCCTATTGCCTGCCTGACAGAGGCCCCTCCTGGTTGCCCAGCAACCTTCCCACTTACTTTCCTGTCCAGAGTATTGGCCCAGAGGTATTGAGTCTTGGAAGAAAATGGGGGAGGGGCAGACTCTGGCTTTTCTATAAACTGAGTTATCTTTCCTGTAACCCCACCACCACCACCACTGGGTGAACAGCCAGGGAGGGGGCAATGAGCCACTGCCTTCCAGTCAGCTCCCTGCCTCCGGCTGAGAAGCCCAGACACCCCAGGAAGCTTCTCTCACTCTTCTGCAAAGCCCCTGGCCCCTACTCTCTCTCCTCAACCCCAAACCCCTGTTAGGAGGACTAGCCCTTGCTGGCAGGCACAACAGGCTCCATCTCTGTGTGGTGAGACACAGCATTGCCGGCAGGGAGGGAAAGTGGCCCCTGGAGCTGCAGGCCTAGGGGGAGGAAAGACATCATCCTTGGGCAAGGCACGGTACCAAAGGCCCAAAGGACCAAGAACAGCCAGAGACAGCTCAGGGGAAGCATACTTACTTCACAGCAAGGCTGGCCTGAGCCATAGGTGTCGCTATCCAATCACGGGGTGCCAGGGAGTAGACTGAGGCTGAAGCCTGTCATAGGGAAGGGGACACATCGGAAAGGAACAACCAGCATGTAAAAACCTCTGCACAAAGCAGGGCAGTGGTGGTGCACGCCTTTAATCCCAGCACTTGGAAGGCAGAGCCAGGCAGATGCCTGTGAGTACAGGGCCAGCCTGGTCTATAGAGCGAGATCCAGCACAGGCACCAAAACTATGCAGGGAAACCCTGTCTCGAGAAACCAAAAGAACAAAACAAAATAAAACAAAACAAAACAAAAAACCAAACCAAACCAAACAAACAAAAAACCACTTCCACATTCCATCTAATTCTGTGATCCCCACCCTCCCAGTCTCCTTGGATACAGGAATGTGACCCTCTGACCTGAGGGCTAGGGACCTATGGGTACATCAAAGATACCCAGAGGGGCAGCAACTGTAACTGGCCCATTCCCAGCACCCAGCTGGTACACTCACCTGAGCCACCTCCAGCTTCCAGATTGTTGGACCTGCTATCCAACAATCTACCGTGTATCCTTCAACACCTCTTTCCAGACCCCAGCTCTTGGAAGACCCAGGCTACACCAACCACCTCCTCCAGGAGGCCGGCCTCCTTCCAGGCCAGTCCTATTCTCAGGAAGCTGCTCTCCTCGGGTAGGCTGAAGGAACGAGAGCCTAGAAGGTAAGGAGTGTAAGGATGTAACCATGACCCCAGCCCCAGCCCCAGGGCAAAGAGCTGTCCTGATCAATGCCCTTCCCCGATTCCTGGACCACAGCCACAGTCAAAAGGCAGAAACAAACCAAGTATGTGTCAAAGGGTCATCAGATAGACATTCTAAATGGCTGTCCCTTGGCCACAGAAAGGGAGCACTCTGACATGGGTTACAGTGTAGATGAGACCTGAGACATGGCTCAGCAGTTAAGAGCACTGGTTTCTTCCAGAGGACCCAGGTTCTGATTCTAGAACCTACAGAGTGGTTCACAACCATCTGTCACTCCAGTTTTGGGGGACCTGTGAGGACACCAGGCACACAAGTGATGCATATATATATATATATATATATATATATATATATATATATATATATATATATATGTGTGTGTGTGTGTGTGTGTGTGTGTGTGTGTGTGTGTGTTTCTGTGTGTGTGTGTGTGTGTGTATATATATGCAAAACACCCACACGTGTTAAAATAAATAAATAATTAGATACATTTTTTAAGAGAAAAAAAAAAAAAGAAAGGAAGCATCTGGCTAAGTGAACAAGGGCTGCTCTGCTGATTTGTAGGGGTCTGGAAGGCCAAGCCCCAGAACAGAACAGGAAGCTGGTAGCTAGAGCTGGGGGAGTGTTGCAAGCCGTTGCCTCAGGGGTCCTGGCTTTTTTCATGGGAGATGTTCTACACTGCATAATGATGATGTTTGCACAACCATGTCCATCCACTGAATGCCACAAAAAGGTCAACTCCGGTGCTCTGGATGGAAAGCTATTTCGAAGTAGCCTTATCTGTCAGCAAGTGGAGCAACGCCCTGACGAGGTGTGAGGACAGATCACAGGTGCTGTTTGTGCTTGTAGTGGACTCGGGATGCTCCGGGCCCAGCCCAGTGATCCGTCAGAGGCCAAGCCAAGTGTGGGGGACAGGCGTCCTCACAGGAAAGTAGTCTGAAAATGGTGGCACACACCGGTAATCCCAGAACTCAGGAGGCTGAGACAGAGGATTACTGCGAGTTTGAGGCCAGCCTAGGTGACAGGGTGAGTTCCAGGCTAGCCTGGCATACATAGCAAGAACCTATGTCAACAAAACAGAGACCCAGAGGCTGGGGATGCTCTTCATTTGGAGGAGTGTTTAACTAACATGCTCAGAGCCCTGAGTTTAACTTTAGCACCTTGTACACTGGGCGTGGAAGCACGTGTCTGTAATTCTAGCATTTAGCGGGTAAAGACAGGAGCATCAGAAGTTCAAGGTTCATCACAGGTTCCATAGTGAGTTCTTGAGCCACATGAGACCCTCTCAAACAAATAAAAAAGGAAGGAACAAAGGAAGAAAAGAAAGTAACCCACAGACTGCCCACCCTGACTCCTCTAGTGGCACCTAAAGCTGTGTTAGACACAGACCAGGTCCATCCCCCACCCCCTACCCCCCACCCCCACCCCCCACCCGCACTGTATGTGTGACATTTCTGCCACCCCACCCCTGCGAGTGTATGTGTGAGTCTGGGTGCCACAGAGTGTCCTGTTTATCACTTACCCATCCTGTGCCAGCCTAGTCAGTGGTCTATGCCTAGAGGCAGGACCAGCCCTGTCCTCATAACTGGCCCCTAGTCTAGAAGCAGGTTCCCTGCTCTAGAATTGGCTTGGCCCTCTCCAGCCCACGGCTGCTGGACAGCAAGGCCCTTGGGGCCAGCTGGCCACTGGCCCCAGAGCTGCCCATGTGTTTTCCTCTCCTGTCACCAGGAGTGACAAATCCAGTGGTCCTCTTACCACTCCAGAGGTCATACTCAAGGTCAAGACACAGGTAGGGCTGCTTCCTTCTGGAAGCCTGGGAAGTGAACTGACTCCCTCATCTTCCAGGCAGCCTGCACTAGGTTCCTACAGGTTAGAGGGTGTTGGCGTTGGCACCCGGCTCTGCCCACCAGCCTGGGTGGCCCCCAGCGTGGAGCTCCCACACCGGTCTTGGGCACGCCTACCTTGATCTCACATTGGCAGAGCTGGCAGGGGAATGGTCCGAAGTCAGACGTGGAGAACACATGGACGGTCTGTCGCAGCTGTGAGCATGCAAGGAAGAGGCAGGCTTCTGGGGCCACCTGGTGGCCACCTTCTCTCACCCATTCCCACTCTGGGTGGGTGGACTAATCCCACCCTGGAGCCCCTGACCCAGACACGTCCAATCAACTCCCGGAGGTCTCCTATAGCTCAGGGCTTCCCTTCTACACCGAGACCCTACTTCTCTGCCCAATATAGTTTCCCCACCAAGCCACAGGACAGTCAAGCCCCTTGGAGAATCGTGGGTCACTCAGTAACTCTTACCTCCTGCTCCTCGAGACCCCTTTGCCTCGGTCCCTTCACGAACTGATTCCCCTCTGCCAATCATGTTCTACCCAAGGGCTCACAAGGTGTGGCACTTCCCCACCCTCCTCCCTCCTCAGATGGGCACTCCTTGGGGGCGGCTCATGAAGCCTAACTTCTCCAGAGCCTAACGCTAGGTACAGGCCCGACACCCAGAGAAGTCACCCAGGTACCCTTGAAGGCGTGCCCCTGGGTACCAGCTCTGTCCCCACGTTGGCACCTTTGGCCCAGCCTCAGCAGAGCCAGCCACTCAAATGAATTAATGTTCCCATCCCTGCTGACTCACTTGAGAACCTCAGCTCTGCCAATGGTTACCAGGCCTGGCCACCAGAAAACAGGCCTGTTCCCAGCCCAGCCAGGACAGGGTCACAAGCCCTTAGTGCTCTTCCTAGCCCCAATCATCTGTGCCAAGTCTGGGGGTTCCTATGTTGGTACTCTTTCTGTAGAGTTGGGGTCCCCAGCACTGTGCAGTCTGTGATCTTGTTTAGACCCTACGAGGAGACAGGGATACCTGTCTTAATTACAGTAGGTGGGGAAACTGAGGCTGGAGAGAGGAAAGGCTCTGGTGCTGAAGGAGCTGGAATGTAGATGCTCCCTGTAAGATGCTTCCTGGCAGACAGGTCCTGGCCGCACACTGCTATCCAGGATGTCCTCTACCCCATTCCACAGAGAGCTTGTAGGGAGGCTTCCGTTTAGACTTCTGGGCCTAGGGGACCCCAAGAACCAGAAGACCCCCTTATCTGGAGCACCCTAAGGAGAGCAAGGCCTTTGCAGCCTCCCCCTACCCTGTCCCTCCAGCCCCAAACATGTAATGTCTTTCTTTCTTTAAATAACATTTTGTTTATTTGTTCTGTGTGTTTGTGCATGTGCATGCATGCGTGGGGGTGCATATATGGCGGTGCACACCACTGGAAAGTCAGGGGACAATTTGCAAAAGTCAGTTCACTCCTTCTACTTTGTGGTTCCCGGGGACTGCAGAAAGAAACTACCCTCTGAGCCATCCTGCTTGACCAGGGGGAAAAGCCTGCCAAGGCAGAGGAGAGTGATAGGACCAAAACTCTCCCAGCCCCGGACCCCTTCGCCACTTCCTCTCCCTCCTCATGGACCCTGTGGGTGGAAGGAAGGTCCTAGGTGTCCACAGCAAGGACCCAGGCGGCAAAGAAGGGCTCAGAGCTGGGCTTGACCCTCCAAGTAGGAGCTGGACAGAGGCAGCCAGCCCGCAGCTCCCACATCGCCTGTAGCTTCCGCTGTCATCAGCGTCCTCTGTGAAACCAAGGAATGAAGGACTCCTGGCCTCTATACAGGACTCCCCCAGGCTGGACACCCTCCACAGCCGGCTCCCTCACTCAGTTTGGAGGTGGAATCTCTCTGAGACAGGGATAGAAGGAAGGACTCAGTACCTAGGCCACAGCGGCCAGCCTGGGCTACATAGTGAGACCTAGGAGCCAGCCGACTCTGGGTCTTCCAGAACATTTTGCAGAATGAAAAGTGGAAGGATTTGTTTGGTTGGTTGTTTTGTTTTGTCGAGAGAGGGTCTCACTCACTCCGCATTAGGTCTCAAACCCCAAACCTGGGACAAAAGACTGAGATGTCTATTAACATATCAAAGCTGACACTGGCCGCCAGGTTCTCCCAGCATCCCTCAGTCCCTTCCTGTTACAGGGTCTTCCTGGTTGGTATGCCCCGCCCCCTACCCTAAACTTCTCCAGCCCAGGGGCTAGGCTGCCCTTCCCTGTATAATCCAGACATTTTGGCTATGCCAGCCCATTTACCTTTTGGCCTCTTGACTAAATCTCTTGACCCAGCTGCCCCTCTTGGTTGGTGGCTCCTCTCTTGCTCCCCCTACCCGCCTCCTCACATGGTGCTACTCAGTCTGGCCATGTTTACTCTGGACTCTCCCAGATGTCTCTGCCTCAGCTTATTTTCTTCCGTTTATCTATAATAAAAACCTTAACCCCTTGGGAGCAATCATGCCCTCTTTTATTTTATTTTCATTTTTCTAGTGCTGTAACCTGGGGTGGAACCAGGAACTCATTCACTCTGTAGCCCAGGTTGCCCTTGAGTTTAGACTGATTTCAAATGCTCAGTAATCTTCCAGATTATAGGCGTGAGCCGTTGTACCCCGTTCAGCAAACATTTTGTATAGTCTTTTGAATTAAAAGCTCTCGAATGAGGCCAGGCATTGTGGTACACACCTTTAATCCCAGCACTCAGGAGGCAGAGGCAGGCAGATCTCTGAGTTGGAGGCCAGCCTGGTCTACAGAGTGAGTTCCAGGATAGCCAGGGCTACACAGAGAAACCCTGTCTCAAAAAACCAAAAAAAAAAAAAAAAAAAAAAGCAAGCTCTTGAATGAGCCAGGCCTGGTAGCATATGTCAGTAATCCTGAGTTCAAGGCCAGTTTGGCTACATAATGAGA